CGTGTCGACCGGTGTTTCGGTCCCCATATCGCTCAGTGTGTCGGTAACACTCTTGGTCTACACTTGTGGAAACGTGTGAAACTGCGTATAGACCAGTGCCTCAGATTCAACTTCGTTTAGTGTGTCGAGACACGAGTAAGCCTCCGCTCCTGCAAGAGTGTCAGCTTCTGTTTTGACCAGTCCTTGGCGTCCACACAGGTTAGTGTGTCCGCAATTGTCTTGGCCATCACTTCTGAGAGCGTGTCAGAAAGCTTGTCGACTAGTGCCTCGGCCTCCACGTCGCCCAGAGTTTAGCCAACCTTGTTGGCAGAACATCAATTAGTGCCTGGCTCATCACATCGGCCAGTGTGTTTATTAGTGTCTCCGGCTCTAGATAGATAGATAGATAGATAGATAATCTTTGTTTATCCACGGTACAAAATTCGTCAGCTTTAAAAATGCCTAATACTAATATAATAAAAATATTTAAATAAAAAAGCTGCTTTCCACGAATGCCGTGTCTTACAGTTCTTTGAGTAATCGTTTAAATTGCCCAAGGGACTCTGCATCCCTAAGTTACAAGGAAGACTGTTCCAAAGAATGGCGCCACTATAGCTGAAGCTGTTTTTGTAATAGTTTGTTCGCGGTAATGGAACATTGAGTTTATTTTCAGAGTCCCTTAGGTTATATGCGACTTCTCGCCTTTCAAATTTAGAACTAAGATAGTTTGGAGCCAACCCGTGCAGAGACCTGTAAACCATCGTAGCTCCTTGGATTTCTTGCTGGCAAGCTAGGTTTTTCCACCCTAAAAGTTTGAAAAGGTGACCAGCATCTACGCCATAGCTTGAGTAGGTCAAAACACGGGCTGCTCTGTTTTTTAGCTTTTGAACCTTATTGCGTAAAGTTATCCCACAGTTTCCCCAAACAATGTTGCAATAATCAAAGTGTGGCTGTATTAAAGCTTGATATATTAGTTGTAAGGTCGCCTGAGGGACAAGGTGCCTTATTCGTTTTATGGCCCCAATACCAGTCTCGATATGGCCACTCCAATCAAGTCTGTCATCGATGGTCACTCCAAATGATTTTGCAGTAGTGACCTGGCTAACTTGAAAATCATTAATTGCTAATGTCGGGGACTCTGTGAGAGTACTTAGCCCCTGCCTAGATCAGATAAGCATAAATTCGGTTTTAGTCATATTTAGAGTAAGTTTGTTTGCTCTCAGCCAAGTGTGAAAATTTTCTAAATCTTGATTTAGATGCAACTGAATATTGTCTGCATTATCACCTGCGTATGTAAGGTGGGTGTCATCAGCGAACATTCTCGGCCCCCAATTTGAAAGACAGTTTGGAAGATCGTTGATGTATAACAGAAATAGTAGTGGACCTAAAATCGTCCCCTGGGGAACACCACAACTTGATAAACAGCTTTGTAACAGCGATCCGTTGATGGAGTTCATTTGACTACGATTCTCTAAATATGACTTAAACCATTGTTACGCGTTACCATATATGCCGGAATTGCTTAATTTTGAAGGCCTTTTTGAGATCTAAGAAAACAACGGCGTTGCTTTTACCGCGGTCAATATTGTACGCCCAAGTGTCCGTGGCCTCAAGGAGACCCGTGACAGTTGAGTGAATAGCACGAAAGCCGGATTGATATTTACAGATTATATTGTGCTCTTCTAGGTAGGCATATAATTGATCATAGACGATTCTTTCAAAGACCTTGGCCATAACTGAGATCACCGAAATTGGACGATAATTATTTAAGTCGTCCAGATCGCCTTGTTTAAAAAGTGGCGTGACCTTTGCGCATTTCCAGTCATCCGGAAATATGCCTTGACTTACTGACTGGTTAAAAATATTACGGATAGGATTGCAAATGAGATCTGCACATTCCCGAATGAGCCTAGCAGATATCTTGTCAAGGCCAGCTGCCTTTGACTTATTTAGACGATTCAAAAGTGAGAGAACTTTATTTGTACTGGTCGGTTTATCTGTGCCAGTGAGGTACTTTTGATAACCATCACTATTTGAGGAATCAATATTACTAGCAAGTTCTGGACCGATAGTAGCAAAGTGATTATTAAATTGGTTCGACAGCACAGTTGGATTTGTTATTTATACTCCATTTACTTTCAGATTTTTTCCCAGATTTTCGCGAAGTAAGTTCATTGATAGTCTGCCAGGTCTTTTTAAAATCGCCCGTATACTTGTTAAAACTATTTTGATAATAGGCTTGCTTGGCTAATCTGATTTGGCTATTTATTATATTGCGTTGTTTTTTTAAAAGTGACCAGTCATTTGAATCCTTCGATTTACTTGCTTTAATCTTTACAATATCCCGATCATGCATTCGTTTCTTAAGCTCAGATGTAATCCATGGGGAACTACGCGTGCGAACACGCATTGTTCCTAAACCCACATGCAGAATCACTTGGTCTGGTGAAAGCTCCAAATTAGGTTTAAGGTACCTTTAAGGCTTTCCTCTAGTATCGTGGCAGCGAGAGCATCAACAAGTGCCTTGGCTCAGTGTGTCGCCCAGTGTATCTGCCATCACGTCTGCTTGCGTCAGTCAGCGTGTCGACCGGTGTCTTGGCCTGCATATTGCACAGTGTGTCATTAAAACTCTTGGCCTCTTGGCCTACACTTGTGCAAACGTGTACACCTGCGTATAGACCAGTGCCTCAGCTTCAACTTCGTTCAGTGGGTCGAGACACATGTAAGTCTCCACTCCTGCACGAGTGTCGGCTTCTGTTTGAACCGATGCCTCGGCCCCCACACAGGTTAGTGTATGCGCAATTGTCTTTTTTACCACCTCTGATAGCGTGTCAGGAGGCGTGTCGACCAGTGCCTTGACCTACAGTGGCGCCCAGCGTTTAAACTAGTGATGCACCTTTCACATCCGTCAGTGTGTCACCAACTTTATCGGCCTTCACCTGTGGTAGCCTGTAAGCCAGAGTGTCGACCGATGCCTCAGCCTCCACATCGCGCACAGGGTCGCCAGGTGTTTCGGCATCCACCTCTGCTTGGCTTTGGTGCATCGTGTTGATAAGTGCCTCGGTCTCCACATCACCCACTGTCTTGCAAAAAGTTTTCGAGCTCAATCTTTGCTAGCGTGTCGGCCAGCGCGTCGAGCAGTGCCTCGGCCTCCACTTCCACCTATGTCGCTAACTGTCTTGGCCTCTATTCTTTACTAGTGTGTCTGCCAGCGTTTTGACCACTGGTTCAGCCTGCATATCGCTTAGTGTGTCATCTCGTCCAGTGTCCCGGCCTTTACATCGGTCAGTCTGTGGCTAAGTGTCTAGGGTCTTACCTCTGCTAGCGTTCACATCGGTCACTGTGTCGCCTTGTGTCTCGGGCTCTGCTTGTGCTAGCCTTTCAGCCAGAGTATCGAGCAGTGATAGGCCTCCACATTACCAAGTGTATCGCCCACTGTCTCGGGTTCCACCTCTTCTTACCGTTCCGCCAGCATGTCCACTAGTGCCTAAGCCTCCTCATCGCTCAGTGTGTCGGTAGATGTCTTGACCTATAATTGTCAAATCGGGTCAACCTGCTTATCTCGCCAACAGACTCTGCCACCACCTCTGCCAGTGTCAGCTAGTGTGTCGACCAGTGCCTCGGGCTCCCCAAAGCCCAATGTGCTGCTAAATGTCTCGGCCTCCACCTCTGCTTCCATCTAAGCCAGCGTGTCGACCAGTGGCTCGGCCTACACATCACCCTGTGTATGGACAAGTGTGTCGGCCTTTAACTGCGCATCCTGTAAACAATACCTTTTACATTGGCTACTGTGTCGCCCGATTTTTTGGGCTCCATTTCTGCTAGCGTGTGAGCCAACGCGTTGAGCAGTAACTCGGCCTCCACTTCGACCTCTCTTCACATAGCTCAATATGTCGGCATTATTTTCACTCTCACCTCTTCTAGCGTGTCAGCCGTCATGTCCACAAGTGCTTCGGCCTCCACATCGTGCAGTGCGCCGCCAATTGTCTTGGCCTCCATCTCTGCTAGCGTGGCAGCAGATTAGTTTACCAGTGCCTTGGCCTCCACATGGTTTAGTGTGTCGCTAACTGTCTTGTGCTTTACTTCTTCTAGAATGTCAGCCAGCGTCTCGACCAATGCCTTACGCTACACTTTTCTCCGGGTGTCGCAGCAAGTGTCTTTTCCTTTTTCCATGCTAGCATGTAAACAAGCACGTCGACCAGAGCCAAGGCTTTCACATCACATAGTGTGTCTGCAGGTTTCTCAACCTCCACCTTAGCCAGTGTGTGAGCCAGCGTGTCCAATAGTGCCTCGGAATTCACGTGACCGGGTAGGCAAGTGACTTGGCCTTTATCTCTGATAGCTTTTCAGCCAGTGTCTCAACCAGTGCCTTAGCGTCCAACTGTCCCACTGTCACCAAGTGTGTCGGCCTTCATTTATGCTGGCGTGACAACCACCGTGTCGACCAGTGCCTCAACCTCCATCTAAGCTAACATGTAAGCCAGCGTGTCGAGCAGTACCTTGGTTTTTACTTCGCCTTGTGTGATACCAATTGTTTCGGCCTTCATCTTTTGTTAGTGTATCATGCAGCGCCTTGACCAGTGTCTCGGCCTTCATATCACTCAATGTCTTGTACAGTGTTTCAGCCTCGACCTCTGCTACCGTCTCAGCCAGAGCATGAACTAGTTCCTCTACCTTCTCATTGGCCATTTTGTCGCCTAGTGTCTCGGCGGAACATTCGTCAGGGTCACATCACTTATTAGAGAGCGAACATTCGTCATTATGAGCGGGCACGTAAGACGTACAACACTCTTTAGGGTCACAAAACCCCTCAAAGTCACAACAGTCGTCGGAGTCACATTACTCGTAAGGATCACAACACTTGTCAAGGTCATATCAGCCGTTACAGTCACAACAGCGGTCAGCGGTCAGGCATGATGGCGGACGTGTCAAATGATGTCTTCAAATTTTGTTGAATTTTTCCTGATTTTTTGTCGAATTTTGTCGTTTTGTTTATTCTCGTTTTTGTGCCATATGAAAAGCCGGCGCTTACATCAGAGAAGCTAGAAGAGTTCCTTGAAGGAAGACTGCGCCTAATTAGTGACCTCACTGAGCAGCTTAAACAGGTGCTGGAGTCCATCTCCTCGTTAAATACCAAATATGATACCATCCTAGTGACCTTGTCGCAGCTAGGGAAGGACAAAACCGCCCTTGTGGAAGAAAATGCGAGCCTTAAAACTCAGGTTTGGGTATTACCAATAATTTAAAGCAAGCTAAAAAGTCTCTTAATGACTTAGACCAGTATACCAGAAGAGACTGCACTGAAATTCGTGGCATCCCTCTTCCTGAGGAACCCTCGGAGGAAGACACTAATGACATTGTAATTCAGCTGAGCGAGAAAATCGGTGTTCCAATGGAAAGAAACGATATCTCAACTAGCCATCGAATCCCAAGTGCAAAACACTTGATGGAACCTGCTATTATTGTCAAGTTTGTGGGGCATAAGGTGAGAGAAAATTTTTATCTCGCAAGGAAGAGGCTGAAGTCTGTCTCTACGGCTGATCTTCGATTCTCTGAGGCTAATAAGATCTACATCAATAAAAGTCTAACGCAGAAGAACAAGGAACTGTTTAACGACTGCTTGAAATTCAAGAAAGATCACAGTTACAAGTTCCTGTGGACTAATGCTGGAACGATTTTTCTTAGAAGAGATGCTGACTTCCCAGTGATACCTGTCTATTCTTCTGTGGATATTCCTCCTTTTTATGAGATAAGTGCAAACGAACCGGCCTGAATCGTGATAGGTGTTCTTGTGGAGTCTCTTCCCATGATAACTCCAGTTATCCATCCAGCCATACCTTATTTCCTCGGCTGGATGTAACTCGTTCCATTAACAAGATTAGTCATCTCACTTATTTTAGATATTGACCTCCATATGCCTTCTGACACAAATTCTGATTATTTTACCACACATGACTTCCATTCAAATCAAGATATTATAAATTGTTTGTCTAGTAATTCACTCTCCTTTTTAAACTGCAATATGAGAAGCTTGCAGGCCAATTTTGATAACCTGGTTAATATGCTATCAGAATTGTACTTTCCTGTATCTGTAACAGGAGAAACTGAGACAAAGCTTAAGAATGACCGAGAAATTATGCTAAATATTAACATCACAGCTTACAGTTTCTTGTTCCAACCAAGCTATACCAATGCAGGAGATGTTGGCTTCTACATAAAGAATAATCTTGGATACATTCATAGGTCGGATCTCTCAGCCTTAGGTCAAAATGATTATGAATCACTATGGATCGAAATTCAAAATGATACAGGGCACAACACCATTTGTGGGGTTTTCTATAGGCACCCCCATGGTAGTTTGGATAACTTCCTAAATCACCTTAACATGATAGCTGATAAGATTCAACGTCAAAAGAAATACTGTGTTTTGTAATTTTTCGCAACTTCCCTTGTCTACTAGCTTGATAAATGTTTACTGTATTGTTTGCTTATGTCGTTTTCCTTTTTTTGCTTGTTTTGTGGCTAGGGATTTGTGTAGAAGTAGATGTAGACAGAATTACTATCCTATCCCCCCCTCTCCCGATTTTTTCCCTACCCACAATTCTGTCCTTAACACAAGTGACAGTTATTTGAAATCAGCGCGCGCCTAAAGCTGGTTTCGGTGCCGTTTAGCAGCTTAGTTTTATATATTGGTCACCCTGAGAAAAGTTTCCCGGAGAGCATCATGTAAAGCTCTGAGATGGGACAAAGTTATTACGATTCGCAGAGTTTACATCGTCCAATATCGTATTATATTCTCGTTTCATTTGGCTGAACGGATCAATCACCCTGATCCGGGCTGAGACAGAAAGGTACGATATTGTTCGCTTTTCTAAGGTGACCACTAAGTCTTTGGCCTCGGGAACAGGCTCTAAGGAGTCAAATGACTTAGGTGAGAGGAAAATTGCCGGTGAACTCTGACCCGGGCCAAGACTAGGCTGAGTTTTTCCGAGTTATTCGATGATATTTCGCTTATGTTAAACGTGAGAAGATTATCATGATTATGCGTGGTTGTGGATAGTCTTATCAGTGCCGCGAAAGTATGTGATTGTGTGATTTCTGCATGGTGTTGACAGGTATGCGATCGCGTGGTTGAACTGCGGTTTCGCCAAAATATTCTGTGCCAGCGATTAATATTGTTTCGTCGGTGTTTAGCTTAGTTGATTGTACCTTGAAAAAGCAACTCTCCACTCAGGAAAATTGGATCAAGGTCTCGTTTCAGCGGGCTCTAATGGCATTGCACCATAGGCCGGTTTTTGCAGATAAGAAGCTGATAATTTGTGCACTATGTTTCATTCAGTTTGTTGTCTATTCCATGCGGAATCCTGTTGTTTATCGGATCGCGAAAAAGGTAGTGTTTTGCCAAACTATTTAAGTTGTTATGTAAGCCTTAACAAGGCACTCTTTCGCTGCAGTTCACTCAACTTAAAATTTCGAGACTGAAATGACAGCGGTTTGGGACTTCGCGAAGTCAGTTTACTGAATAAATGTTCTGAAATTTGTGTCATTTTAAATTTGGACTCGTTGGAATGCTTCTAGGGACCACTATCTTACAGATAAACGCTTTTAATCGGCCTTTGAATGAGTTTTGTTGTTTTAAATTGCCAAGTAGTAGAATGAGTTGATATTTTTGCTAACCCGGTTTTCAAAAATCCAGGTATAAGTATATTGTTTGATTTAAATTATAAATTGTTTGACGGGAGCTTCGCTTTTAGCCCTGGCTAAATCTATATTACTAGGTTAGCCGTCACTAACAGCAGGTTTGGCAGCAAAGGTCTGGAATAAGGCGCTTAAAACTACGATTACCTCCAAAGGACCCACCCGCGAATATGAAACACAAGCTTAAAGCAGAAAGATCCTGATAGCAGCTGCACTGAAAAAGGCTCTTAACACGACCTGAAACATTAACTATTTTTAATTACATAGTTACTAATAAACCGTTCCCTTTTAAACGAGCTTGCTTTAGCAGAGCGAGACTCTAAAAATGCAGGCGTTTCCCTTTTTTTTGGTGTGTGGGACCTAGTTTGTAGGCCACGCGTTCCTAGCGGAGACCGTGGAAACTGGGGATAATAATCGTGACGACTTTCATCGTATGCAAATGAGTCTCGTGATGAGCATGCGGTTTATTCTCGGCGATGACTGAAATGACGCATGTAAGTTTGGCAATGATGTAATTTTTCCCGAATCGAGGCCCTTGATTTTTGTGTAATTACGCACGATATGCACGCGTATTAAAAAGTAAATACCCCTTAGGATGAGAAAATATTATAGCGGGGAAATCCTGTTTTATGGTGTATTAAGGTGTTACGTTTCTCAGAATATTGTCACAATTACTGGAACCCTACGGTTAAATAGATTCACTTTGTTGTATGTATTTAATGGATAGATTTTCGCAGTTGTTAAGATGTGAAGTCGTGTTGCACTTTATAAATACGTAAGATATATCCAGTATTTACTACTGGAAGCAACTTCAACCATTTGTCTAAGGGTTGATTTCCACTACCGCGTAATTTTTACGTACGTAAATTTACGTTCGCAAATAAAATAGAGGCAATGTATGAAAGGTCGCACGTGAGCGTAAAAGTAGAAACTCGCTCAACCTCACGTGTTATCTCAACACGTTATATCTTGCCCCTATTTTGTTTACGTGATTAAAATTTAAGTGCATTAATGTGCGGAGTCAAAAACGCGTTAATGGAAATCTACCCTAACGTTACGTATGTGTCACGGATGTGTTTATACGGGTAACTTTGTACTTGACTATCACGCACTCTACTTGCAGCCCCGCTTGCAGCACATAGAAATCCCACATCGAGCTTTTCTGGAACGGGTTGGTCCACGAATTGAAAGCACTGATTACTTTGGAACAAGTGATTACTTCAGTGGTCGCAAAAAAGAATAATCTTAATGAGTAAAACTTCGAGGTTTACTGGGAAATCAGGATCGAGGATCGGTGATGGAGAATCGGGGATCGCGGATCGGTTAAAAAAACTTGAAATAAAATAAAGAAATAAATCGTGGTGATGTGGGCCACAGACTGTAGATAAATTTCACAGAACATAACCCCGTTCGCTCTACTAAACACTAAATTTAAGTAAACTACTCCGAGGTCTGACTGAGTCAGTGATTTTTTTTGACTTGAAAGTGAAATTTTCCTGGGAAATGAATCGCTTTATCCCCGTGATACTGTGATAAAATGCGTGCTGTGTACAGCCCTAAACATTGTACTCTTAGACTGTACGGAGATATTAAAAGTAGATGTTAAGCAGCGATGGAGAATGTAATTACTTTCACGCAATTTTGATACCTTATAAAACGCGCAACAACTTAAGCAGGAATATGCACGAACTGAATGAACTGTCTGTTGTATAAGGTTCTGCTAAACTTACAATTTTTCCTGTGCTAAACATATACTGTACCGAGCCGTAACTTGGTGCGCTACAAAGGAGCTATATATATTTATCCTCACAGAGTCATGGGCTCCTGATACTGATAAGAATCATAGTTCAATTTTTTTTGAGTGTAAAATCCCCGAAAGAGTTCACACTGATTTAAAGGTTTCACACCGGTTTGAAGCTAAGATGAGCGGTCTGTCTCTTCTTGCAACTTTTACGTTTTGAGTATTTACAGTATGGCATATAACACTCGTTTTGTATTCCCAAACGAAAAAGTAGTACAAAAGCACCGGCGCCTTTGACAACAAAACTTATCTTCAAGCAAGCGAGACTCAACGCTACTTAGTGCGTTCTTGTTATTACAGGCCAGAGGCGTTAGGCCCGTTATTTTAAGATCCAGATCTTTTAACAGCTGGATTATTTCAAGTACACAAATTCTTTTCTCCTCCTTTCTGTGTGCTTACTACACAAAGAGAGGGTCTGTTTATTTTGCGGCGCGAACAATAAGAAGAGAGAAGACGACGTGTCGTTTAATAGACGTGCAGGAAAAAGGATAATTATAAGATAGACATGGACCATTGACAATTTTTAAAGTTGTACAAAAGACGTGATATTCTGCTTCGAGTGACTGCAGATCCCTTAGCACAGGAGTGTTATGATCTGTTCTCCGAATTCCTGTACATTATAACACGTGCAACAAGGAGTCATTTCAAAAGTAGGTTGAGTTTGATCGTCCGGGTGAACGTAGTCCTGAGTAGGACTGTTGTTGTTGACAGTGACTGACGTTTCGACAACCTGTGCGGTAGTCATTTTCAGAGTCAAAGTGAGTTGTATCACGTCAGTTGATGGTGATACCATCAACTGACGTTGATGGTGATACCATCAGGTTGTCGAAACGTCAGTCACTGTCAACAACAACAGTCCTATTCAGGACTACGTTCACCCGGACGATCAAACTCAACCTACTTTTGAGATGCTTACTATGTTAACAATGAAATGATGCAAAGGTTGGACCATGTCACCTTACAAAGAGATGAAGTCAAAGCAGAATGTTTATTCAACAACACGCTATGGAGCGTACACTTCGGCGTCGTGGAATTAATTGTAAATGCGGAGGAATAGTAAGGTTTCAATTTATCAAATTATGGCATTTGTCAAGATATTCGGAAAAGGGCAACATCCAAGAGGCCTACTTGCCAAAAACTAGAATTTCGAGGCAATTTGTCTCTGAGATACCGTAAAATTCCGAAAATAAGCCCCTCCCTGTATAAGCCCCTCCAAAAATAAGCCCCCCAAACCGGTAACGCAAAAAGCCCTCCGTTAAATCGCCCCTCCAAATATAAGCCCCCCAGGGGCTTGTACTTGGAAAATTGCCCTCAAATACAAAGTAAAACAAAGCAAAAACGGTAAATTTACTTCCAACTTTAAGGCTATCCCAATCGATTTTGAAACGCAAATTTCCCTCCGTAGATAAGCCCCTCCAAAAATAAGCCCCTCAAAAAGGGCCTTTGAAAAATATAAGCCCCAGGGCTTATTTTCGGAATTTTACGGTATTAGCCCAGTTATGCTCCGATGACTCCATACAAATCCTTCTAAATTTGACTTGGTTCAAACGTTTAGACCCAAGTCAAATATAAGTTTACTGGCGGTGAGTAACATATCGAACGAAACAAACAGTAAAAAAGAATTTTCTATTTTTTTACACCAGGCTTCAAAAACAGCATAACAGTCTCACGTACTGATTAAAGGTATGGAAGGAATGGGTAAGGAGTATATTACGTTGAGCATGGAATTGGCTAAAACTCAATGTTACCAGTTCTAAATAAATGTTGGGTGTCTGTAAAACGCGGACCGGATACCTGCGGATGGCGGATGCGGATGGGAAAATGCCGATAGAAAAATGCGGATGGAAAAAAAAAATGCGGATAGCAAAAAAAGTAAGAAGAAAAAAAGCGAGAAATGTGGATGGCAAAAAAAAAATAAAAAAATAAAAAAATAA